ATACAGTCTGTCTTCCAGCCGAAATGTCCCTATGATGAAAATTACAGAACTCTCATCTATTTAAGTGGGACAACTTGCACAATGGGTGGCTACCAAATAGTTTTTTGCCTCTCTGAATTTATTGCCTTCTAGAGTCCTAGAGTCCTGTATCCATGGGGCCTGCTGTACACTAGGTACCACCAGTAATCTTGCCAGTGCTTTGCCCAAAGACACCACTGTGACAGCCTGAGTGGATTGTTAACCTGCAACCTTCTGGTCCTCTGCCACTATCATGATGTTTTTAAATTAAGTAGTTTTAATCAAGGTGCTACAACAGAACTGTTACATGTTTATTTAAGAACAAAAGGCCTTAAACCAATCTGTCAGAAAAAACAACAAAAACATTTTTTTTTACTTGTTGATGCATAATGAGTCCAGACTATTATTACATGCATGTGCTTTATGTTGTTGTTATGCTGCGTTTGTGCTTCAAAGACGGCCTAACAATGGGTTGCAAGCCAGATATCTACCATATTTGGAAAAATCTACAAAATAAACACACAGCCAAGATGAAGAAGACAAGGGAATCCTTCAATGTGGGATTTTCTGCAAAAATAAACTAAATAACTGAGAAAACCCAAACTACATCAGCATGAAGAGAGGTTTGTAGTCTGCTTTGTATCAAAAGTCAGCAGAATTTGTTTACTCTAACCCTCTTTCACATTTAAGTCGAAACTTGACTGACTTTGAGTCCTCTGGCAAATCTGCTGAAGCAAATTAAAACATGACATGAACAAACACAGCGTTTAAGACTTTATCATAATAAAGACGACTTCTCTCAGACCACAGATCCTCCAGTGGATTCATTTTTTGAAATGAAGTTCTTCATCAAAATCCAGTTCAGTTCCAAAGTATTTTATTATTCCCAACGCAATCCCAACAGTGGCTCTTAAAGTTTCTTTAAAGATACATTATGGCAGTTTACAGCCGTGGGCAGCAAGAAGCTTCAGTGGTAATTAATGTTGCAGAGGAAAGCTGCATGGCATACAAACCAGGACAAAAATAAATAAATCACTCAAAAAGCAACACCTTCAATTAGAAAAACAAGGAGAAAAATTCCAAAAGGAAAAACTGCTTGTTACATAACAGAGCTGCTGCAACAGAAACCGTCTCAGTCTGGGAAATGCTTCAAAACAGGGGTTATTTAAACAGCAGTCTGATGTTTTTCATTAAAATCACATTGAATACTGCTTTTGTGTATGTGTGTTTAAGTCTAAAGCTGGAGTGAGTAAGCCTGCTGCCTCATCGTTCACCTTGGACCCCCTCAGATCAATTTCATCGATATGAGCTGCGAAGACCTGGCCTGGCAAGCCAGACTATATATTCACATATATACAAACTTTGCAAAGCAAGAATTTGGTCTAGTTCACTAGGCTAGCAAAGACCTGAATGGTTTCCTTATTTTAGAGCAGCGGAGAGGTGGATGTGTTCTCCTCCTCTGCAGCTCTGAGCTTTTAGAACCAAGAGTGTCACCAAATACCTCAGAAATACAGTAGAATAAGGAACGCTACGCAGAGTATCAGCTGAAATCTGAACGTTGGGCCTCAATTATTAAAGTGCTGGTTCAGCTCTTCTTATTACACTTTGGGCTAAAAGGTCCTTTCTAACATGAATCCATCCCATGTACATCTTGCTCTCTTTATGACTCATTTCCTTTATTTTAATGGTTAAACGGTTCTTTCTGGATTTAAGAATAAGTATCATTTTATCCCAAATGTCATTATTTAATAATCATCACATTCATAAATTAGCATATTAGAATATTTTGTTCTGTCTGAATGAAAAATTTATCATTTTGTTAAAGAAAGAAAAACCCACAGAAGTCATTAAAACAACCTGAAACTGACTAAAATCAGAGTTTAAATGAATGAAAATCAAATATTAAAAATCAGATGTTGCCTTCAATTTGTGGTTCAACAGAATAAAAAACTGACTCCCAATTACTTATATGTACATATATGTTGCAAATAATGCATTTTAATTCAGTCATCAAGAAACATGAAGCACAACTCTGTATCTTCTGCTTTCTCCTTAATGAGCCTCTAATGCAAACTAATGAGTTATTTCTCTGAACCAAAAAAAAAAACACTTCACAGTATTTTCTAGTTGCAGATTCTTGTAGATTCAAATCATTCCTACTTTATGTTTATGTTTATTTATTTAGCAGACGCTTTTATCCAAAGCGACTTACAATTCATAACCTATAGTGCATGTTGTGATCTGTGGGGGAAACCGGAGTACCCAGAGGAAACACGCAACTCCACGCAGAAAGGCCGCAGTTGAGTTTCGAACCTGCAGCCTTCGTGCTGCGAGGCAACAGTGCTAACCACTGTGCCACCATGCAGCCTCCTTTGCCGTTGCACATTAAAATAATGTTTTTCTAATATGATTATCTGTAATTAGTAACTAGATGCTCAAAAAACACAGATGCTACAGCAGGGCTGTCTGCTCCACATCCTGAGGTCTCAGACTGTGGTTCCAAAAAAACAACATGGCAGCTCTTGGAAATAAGATTTTTTTGTTGTTGTTTAACTTTTCAACAAAAGGAGCCATTTGCTCCACCATTATTACACATAAACATGTTGCTGACCAAGAGCACATGCATACCAGTAAAACCTCTTTAACACTATCATTATCTGACTTGGTTCCGTTAAAGATCTGCTGGATAAATGAAGCTATTTGCTTACAGCGTAACTCAGTCTGTGCTTCACATTTTATTTCTTGCTGTCAGTATTTTGAGGTCTTCACTGCCAAACATTTTACATATTTATTCACTACTAATGATTAAGAATGTAGACAGCAAACAAACAGCTGGGATGGGGAGGTGTTTGGTCAGTCAAACAAGCATAGCAGCTATAACAATAGGTCTCTTATGCAGTACCTGTCTGCATACATATGTATATGTTGATGGTCTGCACATAGCTTAGTGTGTCTCTGCATGTGAGCAATCCTCAGCACAACCAAACTCTTGTCTCTGTCCTCCTATGCCGTCCTCATGGCGCAGTCGACTCGTGGTCCAGGAATCTGCTGAGGCCTCCTACATTAAAATAGCCAAGCATGCACCATCAGCACGCCCTCACAGTGTATGCACGGGTCCTAGCAGCTGTTCAACGAACCCAGGGAGAAACCAGCAAGCCGACTCTGATGACAGTATGGCTAGAAGTAGAGGCAGTGGGGTCAAATTACCCTGAACTCTTCCCCTCTTCTGCTACTCATCATAACCCTGCACTTTCACTCACAACACTCATCAGACGAGGGCTTCAGGTGATGAGGCAGTGATGACCCATCAGCCTGATTTGGACTGCTCTTCTGGCAGCTGAGTGTGTGTGTGTGTGTGCGTGTGTGTGTGTGTGTGTGTGTGTGTGTGTGTGTGTGTGTGTGTGTGTGTGTGTGTATGTGTGTTGCGCAGTCAGAGGTGCTGGTAAAGTCCAAACTTGTGGATGCATAACAACACAAAACGGAGTCCCTCATTCTTCTCTGAGTTTGTCTAAAATGAAAAACTTTCAGACATTTTTGCTCCAGATGTGTTTTGTCTGCTCACGAGTCATCCATGATTTAAATTAAATGTTATATTCTTTGTGTTGCATCTAATACAAGTTCCTGGTAGAATAAATGTTAATGGTGGCAGTGATCTCTAATAGGAATTAATAGGTGTAGGAGACTATTTTCATGTTCAGCCTGCCTGAAAAACTCACAGTGACCGATTATAATGAGAAATGAGATCTAAAAAAGGTTTTCAGTGAACCACACCTTTGTTTCTTATGAGAAAAATAGTGTTGTAAAACGGTGGGTAGTGCATGATCCGGCTACTAACTGTATCTGGCCAATCAGAGAGCAGCTGACTTTGTTTCTATACCTACAGGAAATAGCACCTCTTCATATTTTCACACACATCACCATGTGAACTTTAGTAAATATGGGATGTTTCAGTTTAAAACACGATCAACACTATCAAAATGACTAATGAAAATACGTAATGTGTCACTGACAATGACAACAGAACAATACAAACGGATCAAAAACAACACAGTCCACCATTAAAACCGTGCATAACTTATTTCTTGATTAACCTTAATAATGTCCAACGTGTCCCTTGTATTTTACTCACGATTGTTTAATTATTGGAAAATCAAAATGTCTTGATTTGCAAAAAATATGTACTGGAAAAAAATGTTGGTAAACAAAAATATTTAACTGAAGAGTCAGGGGGGAAAGCAAAAAATCTGTTTGTTTTTAAAGTTGAGGTTCACGCAAATTAAGCTATTGTGTAAATTAAGTACAACAGCAGATCCTCAAAAGTCCTGAAGCTGTCTCCAAACACACATAAAATCAAGCTGTCTGCAGCATTGGTCTGTGATCAGCTTCTTAAATTGGTGATCAGCATGTAGACGTGCATCAGTAACTTTATTTTACCATGAAGTTAATATAGAAAATGACTGGCTTTGATCCAACTAAACAACCCATCTTCATGCTTGCATTTTTTGAACATTTGATATAATAAAAAGCTCTGATTGTTGATCAGGACTTGAGAAACGTGTTGCGTTTAAAGACAATTTAATGAGGTCTGACTCTTTATCAGCAGGTTTAACTCCCTGAAGTAGAGGGACCCAAGCATAGCCTGGTATCAGAACTAGCCAACATCGAGCATCGTGAGTCCAATCTGAAACATGAAAATCGGATGGTTATCAATCAGTAAGCACATAAATGCCAAACAGCGTTTAAAAAAAATTAAATCATCCAAGTTTCCATGAACTCGCCACTAAGCACTAATTAACACAGGTAAAATACCTTTCATCAGCAAATGTTTACTTTGAGAATTATAGTGCTCGAGTTATTTTAAAGTGAAAATTTCAGATTTTTAAGTAAATGAGAGCAACACAAAACCGACTTCAGCATCAGCTCTAAACCCGGTCTTGCCAGTGAAATGCAGAGTGAAAAAAGTCACATCAAAGACAAACACAATCATTAAAGGTTATTTTAATTCAGGAACTGATATATTTTTGTCTCTGGGAAAAACACAAAGAAAAATAATCTGGTACTTCTGAGTAACAACTTTTGCTGTAAGAAATTAACTTTTTAAAATTTTTCGTCTCGACATTTCATTAGACAGTACATTTTCTTTAGAAGTATTTGAAAATATCTTTTGCTGGTTTGTTTAATAACATCTTCCTTATAAGTAGAATTTCATTTCAATATAGTTCTCTTTAGGAAAAAAAGAAAACATCCATCAACGCATTTCTGTCCAGGGTCATGATCCTGAGACGGATCGGACGTCTGACCATCTCAGAGGGGATGATGGGAAAACTCCTTCCTGGATGTGATGCGGCACTCCCTGGATTATTTGGTTGGACCCTTGTTATGTGGGAGATAATAAACCCTGGAAAAGTCCTGTAATAAAACGTCTCGTCCTAGGTGGAATCTGCTCCTTGCCTTCTCAAACACCAGAGATGCTCTGGTGTGAGAACGCACCTCTCTTTTAGGTTGCTCCTGCTGAAAACACCACGCTATGCATTGCTATGATTGTATGTATAACATAAAACCCAGCTGAGCTGCACTTTAACTGACTGCTGGAGTCAAAGCTTTAATTTATTCCATGAGGCCCTTGTTGTTCAGGCTTACAGATAATCCTCTCAATAGCTTCCCCCTGACATTTTTGGGTAATCTTTTCGATTAACGGCCTGCAGATGCTGCACGCTCGTATGACAGCTCTCCATCTGCTGGCGCTGATCTTATGCACAGCATCTACATCCGCCACAGCAGCTCTCCATACATTCCTCTAACGTTCCTCAGACTTGTAAGAATCCCACAAACTGCTCACGGAAGAGAGACCTGGACTGGAACTGGATGGATGCTCGCTCTTGCCTCCACCGGAGTGAGGAACTCATCTTTTAACAGGTTCACACTCTCTGACTATGAATATGAAAGCAATCATCAGTTTATCTTATTACAGAAACCAATCTGCTGCTTTTAGTAGGTTCTCTCTTTCCTCATTAACAAGGCATATCACACTTTTTTCAACCAATGAGAAACATCTCATCTACACATTTTTCACTTTCAGATTCACACAAACCACTTCAACCCTCAACCCTAAAAACTTTTAAGATAATACACCAATAATTCCCTGCACATGTACTTTTTTACGCCACAATACTTTAGTAGGCTATTACAGCACGATTTGTCATGCACTTTATCTGTCGTTTCTTATTTTTTCTTTTATGCAAAATACCCCTATGCTGCAGATCCGTGTAGCTGGACTAACAGCTGTTTAAAGTTCTCAGTCGTCGTCCACGTCGTCCCCCTCCGACTCCTCTCTCCTCTCGTACATCTTATCCCTCTGCCTCTCCTGGATCTCCTTCATCTCCTCGGCGTATCTGCAGAAAGCGCCTCCGAATTTGCTCCAGGCTTTGAGCGGGACGGTGATTGAGTTCCTGTAGCTGGGCTTCACCTCGCTCACGCGCAGGAACACTCCGTACTTGTTGGACCCCACGTCGAAGAAGAACCGCTTGGAGTCCACCATGATGGAGGTGCCCTCTGGGAGCTCGCTGAAGCCCCCCGCGGCCGTGCCCCCTGTCAGCTCCTCGTCGTCTCCTCCGTAGTCATCTATGAGCTTAGCAAGGGCGTCTCTAAACTCTATTAGCCCTTGCGCCGGAAGGGCAATGGTCTGGCCGGACAGCATGCCGCCCACAGGGCCTCCAACTCCAAAGCCTGGTCCACGGTTTACGGTCTGCCGGATCCGCAAGAACCGACCCCGCTGGTTCTCCTTCAAGTCCAGGTAATACTTGCGGTTTTCCCGGACGAGAAACTCGCTCTTGAGCGCTCGCCTTGGCCCGCCGTCTTCGCCAGCGGTGGCCTGGGCGATCTGCTCCGGAGTGCTAGGCCCCAGCTGGGCGTAGTGCTCGATGAAATCCCCGAGGTAGTCACGGAACTCCGCCGCCACTGACAGCGAGAGGGTCAGACGACTTTTGGAGCCCCCGGCCCCTACCTCAGCGATTTTGATGAACCTGCCCTTGCTGTTCTGCTTGACGTCCAAGTAAAAGCGCTTGTTCTGGATGTCGAGGCGCTTGGACGCCAGCTCCTGGGTCTCCTGGTCCCTCTGGAAATGTTGGAAGCCGCCTCCTCCCCCGCTACTTCCACCACGCTCACTCCCACTGTCTCCATCCGCCATCTTCAGCTCCACCATTCGGCTTCTGCCCTCCTCTTCTGACTAGCTGCTCCCTGCGTGCCCTCGGCCAGCGTAGCGCGCCCTCCCTTCACGCGGTTCCCCAAGGAGCGCTGTGATTGGCTAAAGCCTTGCCACTTTTACTAGTTTACACAGTTACGACCATTCTATTGGCTCAGAACATTTTGTAACCGCGCCTACTTATTTTAGATCTGTTTGCCTATTGGTCTAGACTTGGATTCTGTTAGGACCTTCGACATAATAGGTTAGGACAAATTAGCTAACTTTAATTTATGTATTTTGGACAGACACTGCTTTAAAACAGGCTTTAGATTATCTTGATTAATCAAATTTTACTTTTTTTATTTTACCAATAAAAAAATCTTATAAAAAAAGGAAGTAGTTGTCTTATTTACTGGTTGTTTTGTTGTTAAGTACTTATTAAGTATTTCTTCCTCCAATCACTAATTAAGAAGTGGGGGACATAACAGTCAATAATGGTTACAGGTGCCATAGTCTGTTTTTGCATTACCTAATTTTTCCCAACAGATGGCGCTATAGTGATTCTGACATCAGTCAATTTGATGTCTTACATTTTTTAAACTACAGATAAGCAAAACTGCTTTTGACTTCCATAGATATTTGGATCAATTATAATTTAAAATCTGAAGTGTCTGGTTTATTTGTAGAGCAAAGCTACATTATTACTATTTATGTAGCAAAGCTACATAAACAAAGCAGAGAAATGCTGAATAAGTATGAGCTCAACAATAAAACTATTCTTGCATCACATTTAGCGTATTCCACCTCCTAAATAATGTGCAATTGAGTCCATTGTGCATTTATAATAATTGATTTGTCTACTCATTTCTGTTCACATAGGCAGCCCAGCATTTCCAAGTTTTTAGTGACTTGTTTTGGAAATTGAATGAAATGCACAAATTTAGACCAAACAAACTACCGTACTAACAATACACTTTATAACTGTCATTTTAAATAAACAAGACTGGTTTATGCCAAATTAAGTCAAACCTACAAAGAACTACTTCAGAGAGGCTGAATAGACTTGTGGTTCCTCAACCAGTGGTAGTGAACCACTAATTTAGGCTGGTTTTCCACTCATCTCCATTTCCTTTCAGCTTAATGTGTAAGAATAGAGATGAAACCTCACCTGTAGCATGTTTCCACAGATGCTTCATAAGCCTCTTACACTGCTGTCAGGGCTGGACTGGGACAAAAATTCAGCCCGGGCATTTTGACTGGAGACTGGCCCATCACCTGGTTTTTGTGGAAAAGACATTAAGCCTTATGCTGTTTTTGACACACACCAACGTACACTTTCTTGTTGGTAATATTTATGTATCAATCTAATAAACGTAAACCTACACCATCCTTCCTATCCTGGTATTCTAAAAAGTACTTAGTAAAAAGGAAAAAAGACCACTTGATTAAGGTGACACCCCAAACAATCTCTAACACTTGGTAGAAACCTGACATTAAAACAGAGAGAACTATTAATCAATAATGAATATTAATATAAAAAAAGACATTTATGGAAATTTTCATAAACTGTTTTATCACCACACCAACTAGGAAATATTTTTACAATACATTTAAAAAAGAAAGGAGACAGAGAAAGGTGAGATAAAATAACTTAATTGACCATTTGAGGTCTTTTTAGAGATCGTACTGGTGCAGTATCTAGAAAATGTGGGGAAAATGCTGACATCATATACAGTATTTACTTCTGTAACTATTTGTTAATATGTTGTTAATACGAGTTGCAGTATTTATAGCTATCCTGTTAGGGTGTGTAATTGTTGGACGGAATCTTTAACAAAACACATAATTCATAAATTATTTGTGTATGATTGTGTGCATTTAGAATATCTACATTAAAGTCTCCACAAACACTAACTTATGATTATTTGTATTTAATTCTACTGTACATTTCTGAAAATTTGTTCTGATAAATAATTCATTATTAATAATTAATTATGAACTATTTAGTTTACAAATTAAATTCTTACCTTCTTAACTAAATATTTAACTTAAAGTAAATATTTATCATCCAAACTAAATATTTAACTTTTTAACTAAATACTTTGATTGCAAACTAAATATTTGCCTTCTTAAATATATATTTAGCATCCAAACGAAATATTTAACTATTTAACTAAATATTTTGTTTACAAACCAAATATGTATCTTCTTCAGGGCCGTGCAGAGAACTTTGACGGGGCGGGTGCTCAAAGTTAAAAAAAAGGGGGCACTTATAGAGCAACCCAACAAGTTAGAAAATTCAAATAATGAAACCCTTGGGTTCAAACAACATAATAAAAATATATCAATTAGTGTCATTAGTGTTAATGTTAATGTTAGTTCATAAATAACAGTTTTAGTTTATAAAGCTGACTTATATCTAGAGGTGTTACAACCACGTTTTTGCCCCTGATCCGAGTCCAAGATGTTTGATTTTTGATTATCTTCCAATACTGAGTCCTGTTCTGATACCAGGTGGTGATGCAACGTATTATAAAAGAAGAAAGAAGTCGTCCTTCTGTCTGTATTTGTTATTTTAGCCTGAAAAGGTCACTCATTCAGGAAGTTCATTTAACAGGAATCAAGATAATTTATTGCTACTGCACAGGTGTACAACCAAATATATTTTGCACCTACTAAAGACAGCTCTAGTAAGAGGTAGTAAAATAAATGCAACCACAGAGACTTATCCAGTGTGATCTACAGCTATGTTAGCTGAGATCTTTTTCCTGTCAGTAGAAAATTCTTGATCCCATTCCATGATCTCACTGAACTTAACACTAAACATGAGAGCTCTGCTACCAACCTAACAACAACACCCTTTACACAAAGGCACCATCATCACATACGTGGCAGGAGTCTCAGAGAAACTTAGAAGAATCTTCTCCAAACACAACATCCCGGTAAAGTTTAACCCAACAGCACCCTCAGACAGAACCTGGTCCATCCAGAAGACAAAACACCCAAACAGAAGCTCAGTGGGGTAGTTTATGCAGTCCAGTGTAGTGAGGACTGTCCAGATGTTTACATTAGAGAAACTAAACAACAAGTACACAAGAACATAACACAACACAGGAGAGCTGCCTCTTCAGGTCAAAACTCTGCAGTCCACCTCCACCTGAAGGACAAGGGACACACCTTTGAAGAGGACAAAGTCCACATTCTGGACAGAGAAGATAGATGGGGAGAGGAGTAAAAGAAGCTATCTATGTCAAACGTGAAAACCCCACTTTAAATAGGGGCGGGGCTTAGATTTCACCTTTCCAGTACCAATAATGCAGCTTTGAATCTCATTCAGTTTCAGTCTAGGTCACACCTTCCTGCATCTAATCAACATGATGACTCACCATCAATAGAGGCTAATGACTCATCAGGAGATGGAGAGGCGGGGTACTCAGAGTAGTTTCTGCTCTTTAAATAACAACAGACAGCTACAGCTTATAAGCTTGACTCTCCCATATTCCAGTTAGAACTGACAAAGCTCCTCAGAGGAGAAATGAAATGTTTTAAAGAAACCAAAGAAGACAAGTTGCCTTCATTTGAACTCTATGGAGTAATAGTCAATAGTAAAAAATACATAATAAAGTAATAAAATGTATATAATTATGCTCACATTCACTTTTACCATCTCTTTGTGGGAGGCGGAAAATTTATCACAGTTAACCCTCTTATGACCATAAATATAACTGGTATTTTCTTTTGTTTAATGGCTTTAAATTTGTAATAAAAGTGTAAAATGTTTGTAACTCTGCTCCTTTTTTCAGAACAACCTCAGCTTTCAGTGTCTGGTTTGTATTTGTGTTTATGTTTACTAAAGTCTGTAAAACTGCAGCTTAAATGAAAAAAAATAAACGGATTTGAATTTTCTTTACATTTATTACTAAACAGGAACTTCAAAATTACTCGAGCTAACTATGTCAAAAGAACTATTTAAACTCAGAACTGTGTTGCTAACACTCAGAAAACAGTGTGACCCCTGACCTCATGTTAACCAGTTTAATGACTGCAGCCTGTCTGTGACCACAGGTCTACGCTCTGGTCCAGAGAACGGGATACAGTAAAATAAATACTAGGTATCATAAAACAACACTCATGGGCTACTTCACACCTGTAGCTACATTTCTACCAGCATTATGAAGATCAGTAAGCAGATAAAAGGTTAAATGTAAACATTTCATTACAAAAGTCAACTAATAAAATTCTGCACTGATACAATTATATTTTCAGCTAAATAAATATTTATTGTACGTATAAATAATGCTGGAATGAAGCTGAATCATTTAGTAAACAGTTGAGTGTTCAAATAAAAACCAGTGTGACTGTAATCTGTCCCTCCTCATGTCACCATCTACAGAAACAGCCTTCTGGGACACCTGACCAACCAGGTGGATTTTATTTGTGACGTTTCCATAACTTTATAAAAGCTGCTGATGAAGAGGATCAGATAATCTCCTCCTTTCGGTTCTCGCTCTCCCGTCGCGGTTCGCTCCGTTTCTTTCAGTGACGCTAAAGCTGGTTTCCCTCTAATAGTGATTTTTGGAGTAACATGAATTACATCATGTAATACCTCGTTGGAAAGCTCGTTTTATGTACTTTTAGAAACCGTTATTTCTATTCGATTAGGAATTCAGAAGTTATGACCCGGACAATCTAGAGTGAGAAACATCTGTGTTTCTTTGTTATGATTACACACAAGCGTGACGCGTCAACCCGGTCTCACAGTAAGACCGGGTTGGACCTGTTCAGGTTTACGCAGACAATCTTTACATTGTCAAAGCCATGGATATCAGGAGTCCGCTTTCAGAACTGGACATTAGTTTCATCGATCGTCTAGTTTAGAATGCCTGAGTAAACTTCATAAAAACATTCCTAATAACCCCAGGTGTTACAAAGCTATCGGAAAACATGGCTCACACCTTAGTAAAATGTAGGTTTACCTTAAACAACTTTTGTTTTTGTCAGCAGAGCACCACAGGGAATCAAACCCTGTCTCACTTCCAGCAGTGCCTTTAACTCCTTGTGTTGCTGAGGAGAGCAAAAGCTGCAACAAGACCTACAGATAGAAAAATGTACCTTTTAAACCTGAATGAAGATGCATTACTTTATTTTCTTCTAAAATTTTCTTTATTTGAAATAATTTAGGGTGTTTTTACTTCAAAAATTTGTTTTTTTTTGTGTGTGTGTTTTTGTGTTGTTTTCTTCTGCTTTCAGTTTATGAAGGACTGTTAAATTTTAAGATTAACTAAGAGACCTGGGGCCTCATTTATCACGCTTGCTTA